AGAAATATTTGTGATAAGGCAACATTCCCATATCTTGATTCAGAACGAAGATACCCTGTAATGACGTGATGTGGGTCCTTTCTTGTTTGTTTCTCAACTTTAAATTTCAGTTTGAACATGATAAATACTACAAGCACGATGATCCTTCTTGTTAGGAATCAAAATAGTTCTGGGGGAAACACAGAGAGAGGTTACAGACATTTTTAGGTGATGCAATAGAAAATTGGAGAAGGCAGGAAGAGGAATTGATATTGTGCTGTATCATAAGTGAAACTGATAAGGAAGATAAAGAAAACTCTAGTCAGCACTTATTTATGTGCCAGGTGAAGAAGCAATAGATATAATTGATCTGTTTGGAGACAACAAAGAAAAAGATGGGGAAAAGAGGAATGAACATGAAGTGTGCAGTGGGCCCCCAGTATCTTCTGAGGCTTGGTTTCAGACTTCCCCCGAGATACCAAAATATACAATGTAGTAAAATGGAATCCCTTATTTAAAATGGTGAACTCACACAATGAGATGAAAAATATGGTGAGGATTCTGCATTTATTTCATAACTTAATGAATCCTTATCAAACCCTGTTAATGAGTTAAGAAGCATAGCTAAAAACTGGTAAAACTGGAAGACTGGGCTACTGTGAACATACAACTGTATCTCTCCTTTCCATTCAGTTTCAAGGAAACTGTCTTTGTACTAAACCAGTGTCTTCTCTCAGTAATGCAATGGGTGAGAGTAGATACACTGACATTTAATCTGGACAAGAGGGAAGTGCTGCTAGTCACCCTCTCGATGGATGGTCACCTTGTCATGCTGAGGGAGCTTGCGTGTTCTGATGAACCTGTGGGCACAACTACTGGAATCGTGCACTCCCAGGAGTGGCCACAGGGGAGGTTCCAGACCAAGCACAGTCCGAAGACCCAAAGACCTCAACAGCGGAGCAGGCGGAGGATAACATGGTACATGTTACAACAGCTGTGAAGGCGGAAGAAGGCTGCAACAGATTGAGAAGCCACAGTCATCTTGGTAAACTATGCCACCCGAGGAACCTCACCCTGTGAAGGCTGTGTGTTGATCAGTGTGCACTGACCTCCTCACATTAAAAAATTCATGCACAGGTGTCTTCCAAGGGAAAAAAATCAACCAAAGTCCTATGGCAATCAGCAAGTGGCGACAGGAGCAGGACTGTGAAATCTGGCCCCTAGTCACAGACTGGCACCCACTGGCATCAATTCAGTTGTTCTACCTCAAGGTCCGAGGCAGTTGAGTAGTTTGGCAGCTGTATCCATGACTGAGCAGCCCTTTTGAGGATCCACTCTGCTCACCCCACATGGGAAAGAGGCTAGAAAAGGTGCCCTAAACATAGTCTGCCTCTCTTATCCCTGACTGGACTCCCGTGTCCAGTGGGGTCACCACCCTGTGGCCAAAAATGAACTTCGGAACATGGAACGTATGGACACTGATGGACAACACTGATGGTGAACACCCTGAACACAGAACTGCCATCATTGCAAGAGAGCTGGAATGCTTTAACATCGACATAGCAGCCCTTCAGGAGACCCAGAGAGCAGGAGAGGGACAGATGAAGGAAGAAAAAGGAGGCTACACCTTTTACTGGAAGGGACTGCCTGAAGAAGACCAAAGAATGCATGGAGTTGGCTTTGCTATCAGAAAAGACCTCGTGAAGCATCTGACCGAAGCACCCACTGGCATCAATGAACTACTCTGAACCCTCTGAATCAAACTTGCCAAAAACCAACAGGCAACCATCATAAGTGCCTATGTGCCAATACTAGATGCTGATGAAGACATCAAGGAACATTTTTACTGTCAGCTGGACATCATCCTATCAGAGATACCTAAGGAGGACAAAATCATCCTCCTGAGGGACTTTAATGCAAGAGTCGGGTGAGACTTCGACCTGTGGCCAGGGACCATAGGAAAAGATGGGGTTGGAAACAGCAACTCGAATGGCATCCTGCTTCTCACCAAATGCGCAGAACACAACCTTGTCATCACCAACACGCTCTTCTACCGGAAAATCAAGTTCAAGACATCATGGAAGCATCCCCGTTCAAAGCATTGGCACCTCTTAGACTATGTAATCACATGTGCCAGAGATGGCCGTGACTGCTGGACAGACCACAGGCTAATCTAATCCATGGTAGCAATCAAGATCACCCCCAAGCGCAGACTCCAAGGAAGAAAGACAAGGTGCAAAATGAACACCCAAGCCCTTCAGGAGCCCTCCAAACGGGACCTTCTCCGAACAACACTCAAGGACCATCTACCCATAGAACACCCCGAAAATATTGAGGAACATTGGAACAAACTGAAGATCTCCATCATCACAGCCTGCGAAGAAACTATTGGATACCAAACCAAGAAACATCAAGATTGTTTRATGAAAATGACAACGAGATCCAACAGCTAATTGACAAGGAAAGGAAAGCCTTCCAAACATGGCAGAGAGACATCAACTGTGCTGCTAAGAAAAAAGAGCTACGCCAGTGCAAAAGCTGAGGTCCAAAGAAGGACAAGAGAACTCAAGAACATCTGGTGAACAAAGAAGGCTGAAGAAATGCAACACCTGGCAGATACCCATGATGCTCAGGGATTTTTCAAAGCCACAAAGGTCATCTATGGACCAACMAACCATGGCATACAGCCCTACCTTCYATGTTTCCACTGAAAGGCAAAGTTGTTTTTATTTGGGTAGGATTTTAATATGGAGCTGTAGCATGTATGTCAGTTGTGTGCTATTTTTCAATTATTGTAAGCTGCCATGAATCCCACAGGTGATATAATTTCAATAAATATTCTTCAAAGAGGGAGATACTGGGCCCATAAGTTATTTGATACACACAGCTCCTCAATTTCAGAGTTTCTTGCTAACAGCTTTAAACAAGTCATTTCTGATTCTAATGTATCTCTTTCAGTCTCTGTGTTGTGAGGATTGCATGACTTTCATATGTAGCATTTCTTTTTGTTTGCTTAGTATGTCATTAAGTCCCATCCCCCCCCCCCCCCCCCCCCCCCCCCCCCCCCCCGCCGCCACCACCACCATCTTACAATGTCACTTTGTGGGATAAGAGAAATTGGAATCGATTGGTGCTTTAAATATGTTTTCCCAGTTGGTTTTGGAGGGAGATATGAGTCACTTTCTGGCACACAGTTGGCAAAGGATGGGAATTTGGAACAGCCCCAGAGTGAGCAGGCCCGTAGCCAGGATTTTGATTCGGGGGGGGGCTGAGTTTGATTCGGGGGGGCTGAGTCTGAGTGAAAGAGGGTCTACCCTAGCAAACCTTTTGTATCATTACCACAATACTCGCCATGCATATGGGATATATTGAATTTGGTTATATGAAGCCCCCAAGACCCCCCCACCCCCCCGGCTACATGCCAGCATGTGAGCAAGGGGTTGGGGGACAAATTTGCTGTCCTTGGGGCCGGTCTCTGGGGGTCCTTCCACACAATCATATAACCCAGACTATCAAGGCAGAAAATCCCACAATATCTGCTTTGAACTGGGTTATCTGAGTCCACACTGCCATATATCCCAGTTCAAAGCAGAAAATAAATTGGATACAGAATTGTTGCTTTTTCGAATCTATGGATAAGGCTATAATTTTAAATATGTGAAAATGTATTCTGTTTTCTGGGAAGGGGAGACAGACTTTCATGTATGTCACTTATTCTGTAACTCCATCAACTATTAATGACTAGTTTACTTTAAATAGCTCATGATTTTGGATATATAAGTCATTTAGGAAGCTGTTACTCCTTACTGACTTAAAACCAACCATATTTATGGTAATTAGCTTTATTGTTGTAGTTTGTTTTTTATGAAGTATTCTGGGGAAACACTAAAACTGTCTTTGAAAATGAAAGTTGACATTGTTTATACTTTACTGAAATGGCATTTTGAGGTGTTGAAGGATACATCTAAAGATCATGAGACCATAAATAATATACAATAATGCATTCTCAGACATATGCAAATAAAAAATATTACAGTCTTTACCATGTTTCTATTCTTTAAAAGTCTCATAATTGCTTTGAATTACTTAAGGCAAATTTGAGCTGACATGCTTGGAAGACTTTGCACAATGTTTTGCCAAAATAATGAAGATGTTTCATAAGAAAACATCACAACAGTTGCCAGAATAATGTAATTGCATACCTCTTTGGCTAAGTGTATATGTGTCTGTTGGTCCATTGGAGACTACTGCATTGGGCCAAAGCATAGAAGACTGCATATGAATTAAATTTATGTTTGACTAATGCTTCAGCTTTGACAACTAAATTATCCCTCTTGTTTAAAAATTAATTATTTGTCCTTACTGCAGGTTTGCATGATAAAGTAATTCATTACATTACTCATTGTGTTGCCTATTTGGCTTTTTATGGGTTATTTTCCTTATAGGCTTGATTTTTTTTTTCATGTCAGGAGCAACTTGAGAAACTGCAAGTCGCTTCTGGCATGAGATAATTAGCTATCTGCATGGACGTTGCCCAGGGGACGCCTGGATGTTTTGATGTTTTACCATCCTTGTGGGAGGCTTCTCTCATGTCCCCACATGGGGAGCCAGGACTGACAGAGGGAGCTCATCTGCCCTCTCCCCAGATTTGAACCTGCGACCTGTCGGTCTTCAATCCTGCCGGCACAAGGGTTTATCCCATTGCGCCACTGGGGTCTCCTATAGGTTTCATAAGAGAAAGCCATCAAAATTGAAAAAATACTGAAACTGGAAAATGACTGAAATTGTAAAGTGCCTATAAAATGGCTTTTAAATTTTAAAAGTTTATTTAAATTCAAAAAGCAACTAGTCATATTAATAAAGTTATTTCATTCATTAAATTACATTTTAAATATATTTTATTAAATTTTCACAATAAATACAATATTATACAATACAGAAATAAAGCATAATATGTTTTCTATTCTTTTTTTTTCTTTTTTTTTTTTTGCTTTTCTCCTTTCCCCTCCTTTCTTTGTAAGGACATGGAGGGTGGATTCATTACATTACTGTGGAAGCTGAAGTCCAAAACACCTGGAGGCCCAGAGGTTGGGAACCACTGCTGTAGACAAAGGAGGGCTGAGACAGCATCCCTTGGGAACACAGAATGGGATGCTTCAAGAATGGACAGTTTGACACTTGTAGAACATTTAAATGTCCCAGTAAATGTCCCTAAAGAACCCTATTGACCAAATGACTTCTGAATGAGCTAGGACACTTTTCTAGTCTTTGTTAGATCCTTTAGCAGAAGCATAACATATTATCACTTGCAGAACCTAGAAAGTGGCAAGAACGGATTATTTTGTCAGATACCGGCAAATACTAGTCACGTAGATCTGAGGGTTGCAATATATTTCATACTATAATGCATATTACAGGCCATGTCATGGTATTTTTCTTTCGCCTATCCTAAAATGTGCATTTTTGCCCACATAGTAATATTTTTCTTTAGCCAAAAACTGCATCAGAAAATTCAAAGACATACAAAATTGTTGGGTTGTTGTAGGTTTTTCGGGTTGTATGGCCATGTTCTAGAACAGGGGTCCTTAAACTAAGGCCCGAGGGCAGGACATGGCCCTCCAAGGTCATTTCCCCAGCCATCGCTTAGGTCAACCTTAGTCTGAAACTACTTGAAAGCACACAACAACAATCCTATCACATCAGCCAAAAGCAACCCACACTTCCCACTGAAATACTAATAAGTTTATATTGGTTAAAATTGTTCTTCATTTTAATTATTGTATTGTTTTAAAGTGTCATTTGCACTACGAATAAGATATGTGCAGTATGCATATGAATTAATTCATTTTTTTTTTCAAATTATAATCCGGCCCTCCAATAGTTTAAGGGACCTGGCCCTCTGTTTAAAAAGTTTGAAGACCCCTGTTCTAGAAGCATTCTCTCCTGACGTTTCACCTGCATCTATGGAAGGCATCCTCAGAGGTTGAGCCTTCAACAATACATACAAAGTCAAAAGAATAAGTGCATCATATACTTCAAGAGGTATGAAATCTGGAAGAATCCCAATACAAAGCCAACCCGACATTTCTTCTTATCTGAAGCAAGAATGAAACTGGAACTTAGAAACACATGAGTAAAGGAGATGATCAGAATTAGGCTGTTGCTGAAAATGCCCTGATAAGAAAAAATTGAAGAAAAAATGCAAGATTTTTGATTGCGAGCTAACATTGATTTAGTTAAATTATTTATACCCTACCCTTCTTCACGTAAATCAGGGTGGCTTGTAAAAGCAGTAAAACGCGATTCATTGAAAAGCAGCAATATGTAAATGGAACACCAATAAAAGGAAACAGTGATTAAAAACAACAGCAGTCAAAAGTACCATTATACTGTTTTTCAATTAATTGGACTTATGGTTCACTGTTTTAAAATTTTGTCTTGTAAACTCTCTTGAGGAGGCTTCACCTTGAAAGATACTCTAAGAATAAAATGGAAGCAATAGTTAAAATGTGTAATCCTAATTATAAGCTTATTAATAAATGAGCATATTGTGCTCTAAATCTTGTTTGTACTTGAACTTATTGCTCGGAATCCCACAGAATAAGTGCCTTGATGGTGCTTCTGCCATGAGTAGAACCCATGGGGGTACAGCAGAACTACTATATGGGGAAAGGAAGGGGAATCTGTTATGCTAGTAAATATGCATGAGAGAAACTGATTGTAGATCTTGGCAATGTGTACATGTGCTTTTATTATGCAGGTAGATGGGTAATGTACCATAAACAACTAAATGAGTATAATATTCAGCAACACACATTATTATTATTATTGTTATTGTTGTTATTGTTATTATTATTCTGACTCAAAGACACAGTATGACACAGCAAACGAGATCTATATGCTGGATTTCATATCACAAAATCACGTCAAACACTTCCCGAGCATTTAGGACTGTGTACCGTATTTTCGAATGATGCACACAAATCCAAATAAGGTGGCCTTTTGCAGTTGACAGATCATGATTTTGTCAATGTTTATTGTTTTCAAATGCCGGCTGAGATCTTTTGGCATGGCACCCAGTGTGCCAGTGACCACAGGGACCACTTGTACTGGTTTATGCCAGTGTCTTTGCAGTTCGATTTTGGGGTCCTTATAACGGTTGAATTTTTCCTGTTGCTTTTCATCAATTTGATGACATCAATAATCCAAACTTGTTTCTTTTCCACAATCATGATGTCTGGTGTATTGTGTTCCAAAACTTTGTCAGTCTGAATTCGAAAGTGCACAGTAATTTTGCATATTCATTTTCCACTACCTTTGCAGGTTTTTGATCCCACCAGTTCTTTACTACTGGCAGGTGGTACTTGTGATATAAGTTCCAATGAATCATTTGGGCCACAGGGTTGTGCCTCTGTTTGAAGTCTGTCCGTGCAATTTTCTTGCAGCAGCTGAGGATATGATCAGTGGTTTTATCAGCTTCCTTGCACAGTCTGCATTTTGGGACATCAGCTGATTTTTCAATCCTGGCCTTGTTATTATTATTGTTATTGTTATTGTTCACTGATATTCCACGTCAGCTATTACTTACATATGCGTAATGAATTAATGTCTCTTTGCCCCAAACTTCCTTCCTCCAACGCACCTTAACAACCAGCAGCTTAAATGTGCAAAAAGGATGGTGTTTTCTCCCTGGTCCTGCCAGTGAGAGAAGTTGCCATTAGAACTTGCAACAAGGATCTGACTGTCATAACCTCAGTTGTTGGTGGAAGAGTTGGAAATGACATTGTCCTCATGCCTTAATAGGAAAATAAACAGACTTACTTCAGCTGATCTGGCTGCTGGCTCTTAAGGTGTGCTCGGATGGTCCGTATTTGTGTAGTCTTACTATAAAACTTTGCAGTCTTACTGAATACAGAACAGGTATGAATTCATAGCTCCAAGTTACAAATTCATAACTGCTCTACTGAATGACAATAATTATCTTTAGTGAGCACTGTAGATTAACTGAACTTGTATTGGTCTGAATTTTGCTTATTTAAAAGAGCAGGATTGAATATGAACAGATTTTTTTTAAATTACCATTAATTATAGTAATGTCATATTTTGCTGTTATCTTAATATTTAAAATTAGATCAGAGTATAATTATACTGATAAATTTATGAGGAAGTAAATGATAGATGATAAATTGAGCTATTTAGAATAATTAATTGCTAATGTATTACTTAAACTACTTTATAATATTTAGTAGTGTACTGTTGTAGTAGTGCACTTTGAAGAGATTTGATGCTGAGCACTGACAGAGGTAAAGTGGAACCTGGTGTCTTGGACTCTCATCATAAGGAATAAACAGAGGCATAAAAATGTTAGGGTTTATTGTTGTTGTTGTGTGCCTTGAAGTTATTTCCGATTTATGGCTGCTCTAAGGAGAATATATCATGAGATTGTCTGCATCTGAGAGTATGTGACACACCTAGGGTTGCCCAGTGAGTTTCTAGGCTGAGTGAGGAATCCAACAATGGACTCCATAATTGTAATCCAATGTTCAAACCACGACACCACAGTAGCTTGTGGTGTGTTATTATCTAAACTGTGTAGCAGTGCCCAGTTAACATTGTTGACATCAAGGCTAATGCTGAGTGTCACAATCCTCTATAGCAGGGGTTCTTTTACAGCCATGGAGCCTTTAGAAGCAAAAGTTTGTTGTGGAGCCTCAAGAAATGTTTATATATTTTATTATATATTATTCATATATATTTCAGGCATGGACAAACCTTTTGACCAACATAAATGTAACAGTATTCCAGTAGAAGACCTCAGGGTTCATCCAGCCCAAMCCTCTTCTTCCATGCAGGAAAAGCATAATCAAAGCACCCCCAACAGATGGCCACCCAGCCTTTGTAATAATAATAATAGTAATAGGAGTAACCCCAGGGGCCATTCAGTCCAACCCACTTCTGCCATGCAAGAAAAGCACCATTAATGCACCCCCAACAGATGGCCACCCATTCTTTGTAATAGTAGTAGTAATAGTAGAAACCCCAGGRGCCATCCACTTCAACTCCCTTCTGCCATGCAGGAAAAACACAATCAAAGCACCCCCAACAGATGGCCACCCAGCCCTTGTAATAATAATAATAGTARTAATAATAGTAATAAGAGCAACCCCACGGRCCATCCAATCCAACCCACTTCTGCCATGCAAGAAAAGCATCATTAATGCACCCCCAACAGAAAGGGTGGTCACCCAGCCTTTGTAATTGTAGTAGTAGTAGTAGTAGTAGTAGTAGTAGTAGTAATAGTAGAAACCCCAGAAGCCATCCACTTCAACTCCATTCTGCCATGCAGGAAAAACATAATGAAAGCACCCACAACAGATGGCTTTTCAACCTTTGGGAGATGTGGGGAAAGGTTTTTGGGGTGAGGGAGGGGAGGGAAAAAACTCTTGGAGGTGAGGGAAGCGAGGGAAAAAGGCTTTTGGTAGCAAGGGAGAAGGGGGGGAACAGGCAAGAGGAGGGAAAGGGAGGACAGGGAGGGAGGAGAAGGGAAGTACGGAGCCCCTCATTATGCTCTGTGGATCCCCATGGACTCCATGGAGCACACTTTGAGAATAGTGACTGACCTCACAAACCTCATTCAATCAATGAGCCCACCAATGAGACTACTCTCAGTAAATGTCGCTAACTAATTAATCAATGGGAGCCATGACTTCCAGTCCAATACCTCAGTGTCTGCCACTGTGAAGGTCATCTGTATAAGCATGTATATTTCCTTACCTCAGAATCCAGCTAGCATTCTCATCTTAGTTCTATAGGGACTGTGTGAGTCTTCTCCTACTTATTTCATGTGTGTTTTTTTGTATATTTGCCCCTCAAATATACAGTCAATCCCTGAGTTACAAGCATCCAACTTACAAACAACTCATAGTTAAGAATGGGGTTGAGACAACAGGAAGAGAAATCTATCTCTAGGAAAGGAAATTCACTCCTGAAAGAGTCATCATGGGGAAAAGATGTCTCCACTGAAGCTTTATCAGCAACCCTTGTTTCTACATCAAGCCAAAAGTTTAAAAACCCAATTATCATAGGG